AAAAAAAAAATTCTTTTTAAAACCCTATCAATATTGAGTGATGGTTCATGATTGAACACTTGATAGTGATTTGTGTAGTGACACATTGTGTTTATGACTTTGTGGTGTTGTTGATTTGGATTTATGTTTTAATTTGGGATGTTTGCTAAATCATTTAGGATGTATCATGTAATCATATGTTTAATATTTTGAGATATTTGAAAGCTGAAACTTTGGATTTCATGTTTTATTTATCATAATTTCTATTTGCATGTTTTAGTTTAAGTATTTAGGAATTTGAGTAGATTTTATTAAAACAAAAAAAAGTAAAAAAATTATAAAAACTACCTCGCCAACCTTGGCAGGCTGGGTTGGAAAAATTCCAACCCGCCACAGGTGGGTCCTAAAAAGACCGACCCGCCTGACTTTAAGCCGGTCATGGGCTAACCTATAATCGACAGGTTGGCCTGTATTACCAGCTCTACACACAAGCACTTGGCCTTATCCAGTGTACACTAATCTTTCAAATAAAAAGTGAATAAATTTGTTTTTCTCTTTGACACATTAGCAAATCTATAATTGTTTTTTAACTCATGTTTACAATCAAACAATAAAAAATAATTCTGTTTCAAATGACGTGATGATTTTTTATAAATTATATATTAATAAATAAAAAAGAGAATAAAAAGTATGACACATTTTTTTTTGAACATAGTATGACACATTTAATTATTGATATAAGGGTCAATTTAAACGAATGGATTCTAAAATCAAATATGTCACATTTATTTTTTAATATAAGTAGTATGTGTGTGCTTGTGTTTTTTTTTTCCCATTGGATAAACATGCGTGTTTTTATTTGTAATTTTTATGTCTTCTACCCTAGTAACCATATCTTATTGAAGGAAGAATTGCAGGACAGTCCTATAAAAAAAATTAAAATTATTAATTTTAAATAAGAAATTTTAACAAAAATATTTTATTATTTGTAAATAAGTATTGTAAAAGCTTATTAAAGTGTGAGAATCAAATCTGGTTTGGGACTTATTAATTTTAAACTTATTTTTGTTAGATTCTCCAAAGAATTATTATGAGATCTTAAGAAAGAATAAATCACTTCATGCATTCAATATCCTAATTTTATTTGTGATATATTGAGCACTTACTGATCTTATTTTCTAGTTACATCCAACATTTTCATTTTATTTATAGTCTAGAGTGTTAGATACATTATAAGTAAGATTAGAGTGATGAAAATATCATAAAAATAATATCTGGATGCATTATAAATAATATAAAGAATATTGGTACGTGGGATGCAACTCTTGTTGCTGGCTAATGACATCAAATTGTGCTGACTCATTGCTACTGTTAAAACGTTTAGATAGTTACGTTGTTTTCTTGAGAATTCAAAGCCATTTTTTTCTTACGAAGAACTTGAAACAGACAAGGGAAAATTGGGGATAAATCCCCCTTTGGATATTTGTTTAAGAATTAGTCCCTAAAAAGTTACGAGAGGCTTTGGTCCATCAGTGTAAATAAGTATGATAAGAAAAATAACCAAAATACTCTTAGACTCTGGTGGAAGATCATTTACATATACACTGAATCTAGTTACACATGGGGAAGATATCTTGTTCGTTATAGAAGTTAAATTGCATACTCTATGTTTTGAACATAATATAAGATCATTTGCACATACATTAAATATAATTGCACACGAGGAGAATATCTCGCATATTATAGAAGTTAAATTGCACACTCCATGTTTTGAAAATAATAGATCATTTGCACATACATTAACTATAGTTGCATATAAAGAAGATATCTTGTATGCTATGGAAGTTAAATTGCACATGTACATTCCATGCTTTGAATATAACAGAAGATCATTTGCACATACATTGAATTTAGTTGCACAAAAGAAAGATATCTTACACGTTATGTAAGTTCAGTTGTACTTAACGTAAGTTGCACATAATGAAATATCAATTGCATCTATGGGAAGTTGACTTACATGTAAGGAAAATGCAGCTGCACCAAATATAAGGGCACATAATGGAAGATTAATTGTACCTACATGAAATTTAGTTGTACTTAAGGATGATATATTGCACGTTATTGGAATTCAGTTGTACTTAACATAAGTACACTTAATGGAAGATTAATTATACTCACATGAAATTTAGTTACACATAGGGATGATATATTGCATGATATTAGAGTTTAGCTATGGGGGTATGCACTCTTCAAATTGCCCTGTTGATTCTCCTTGTTGACTTCTTTTCTTTTTTTAAGAAAAAGCTTTAATCAGCGCAATATAGTAATTTCATCTAGATTTTTTATTTATATTTAAGCACCTCAATCTCTGATGTTTTTTTAATAGACTTTTTCCCAAATAAATTTTCAAATGGGTATTTTTACCCAATCTTCTCAATAAACAACCGCAATAACGGTTGCTTTACATGCCTATCTAATCTTGGGTTGTTTTTATTGTGCGATGAACACGTATATTGACGGTGTAAGCAAAACACAAATACCAGAGAGGGGAGTTCCGAGAAATATAATAAATTGCCCAACTTGTGTGAGATGAGAATGTACTCGACCCAAGGCCACATGCAAGCATGACTTACAGAATTGCACAGAACAAAGATTAAAAAATATAAAACAAAAATGAATAAAATAATTAAAATAATTTAATTACGACTCAATTTAAAACTCCAGCACATTGCACTGTTTCCCTCTGTCCCAAGAGCAATAATGGCATCAAAAGAATAAATCTTTTCCTCTCCTGGTGGGACTGTTCATAATCATGAGCCCCTACGCCTTTTCCATTGATTTTTCAAACTTTTTCTTCTTGATGTGCATATGTTTTATGATATTTACTTGTGACAAACAAAAAAAACAAAACAAAAAATTATTAAATCCTAAATCACATTAATAATAATATTTTATCTAATATTGGAAACACTGAATTTACAAATAACAATTAATTCTTATTGACATTTTTATTTAGTATTTAGTAATTTTTATTTTCGTTTTTTTCATTTTTTCTTACTTATTTCATATTTATAGCGATTTTTATTTATGTTTATATGGACTCATATGCATACTAATAAAATATATACTAAAAAGCTGTATAACTTAATTTTTGAATTGTTTAAGACATTATTTTAGGTAAATAAATCTTCTCATAGAAGTTTATTCATTAAAAATACATAATTTGATAGACTCATAGAAGTTTATTCATTAAAAATAATTAAATGAATTTAAATATATAAATTAAAAGAATCAATAGCAATAGATAATTTTAGCCATCGTTTAGAAAAGAACTTCTTTTATATTAAAAGACAAATTTATTAAAAGATAAAAAGATACAGATGGAAAGGCCACTCAAAGGTCCCTCTTATGACCTTTTGTCTGGTGTGTTGCTGGTTTCAGCATCTTCCATTTGCACGAGCTCCGGTGTGTCTTGCGGAGGCAACTGGCTCTTTGTGGGTGATGTGCTTTGTGCATTATAACACCCAACAAGGTTTAATTACCCCTTGCGGTATATATGCCGTGAGGCTTTGGCTTGTTCTAAAGTCTCGTGATAGCGTGTCTCAATGGTTCTAAAGAGTCCTTCACCTTCAAAAGGTCCTTGATCGACGGAACTCCCTCTTTGATTCTGCAGGGCAGCTAGTATGCTCGTGCATGGTAGAAGTTGACATGAATTGTTCAATGATTGAGCAAGAGAGGGAGAGCGAAGGAGGAAGAGAAGCCGGACTGGGAAATCAGCATGTTAAAAGTGGGTGTACACATATATACATATGTCTTCTATCAATTCTTGGGGATTAGATTTACCGAAGAAATTTTTCATGCAACAAAAAGGAAGATAGCAGGATATGTGGCTCACCTCCATTGCCATATTGAGCCAAACCACGGATTTGGATTCTCTCCACTTCTTCTCCCATCCTCTTCCCATCCACTACCCTCTTTTTCTCTTCATAACCATTGGATCAAAATTCCAATAGTTCAGATTTAACATCTTATAAAAATAATATTATTAAAAAATAAATAAATAAATTTAAACTGTTAAAATCTGGTCTAAACAGTTAACAACTGTAATAAAAAAAAGTTGAAAAAAATTTGCTCTGTCATAACAGTCTGTAGATATAAGCTGTTTAAATTAAATTTTAATGGTTTAAACTTATTTATCTATTTTTATAATTATATTTATTTTTATAAAATGTTGTAAAATATTAAATCTGGACCATTGAAGTTTTGATCTAATGGTTGTGAAGGGCCAAAAAGAGGGTAGTGGAGGGGAAGAGGATGGGAGAAGTAGTGGAGAGAATCCAAATCCGCCAAACCACTGATCTCTTATTCCTCTGTATTTACTAGTAGAGGCCGAAGTACTGTCACAAGAGACAGTGATGCTTCTGCACTAATAGACAAGTAATCATACAACAGCACAGTTATCCTATATCATAGAACACATAAAAAAATGTCGGATTTGAATCAGCGTAGGAAGATAAAACATGAAATGCCAAAATAAGAGAGATGTAAGAACAGGTGCGTGAGAGCCACCACGCTCAAGTTAAAATTTGTCCATACTCCATTTATGGTCTCGCGAGAGAGTCATGTACTCACATGAGAGGGTCCAAATCCACAAATGAATGTCGGGGCAATGAGCATTACAGAGTCGAGGCCAGTTCAGGCATTTGATCCAACTGTTCTATGGCTAGAACTGATTAGATTTTAACAGACCCAGGGAATAGTTTGTGTCTGAATTTATAGCTTGAACTTTCAAGTTGCCAAAGTCCACTTTCTTCCTTGAATATGATTCAAGTTTATAAATTTGATATTTTTTCGACATTTAGGATGATTTTTAATTTAAAAATACATGTTTTTAAGAATCATTTTACCTTTTCAGTAGTTTAATCAAAGACCCAGTAACTAGACGATTGAACAGAAGGATTAAGACCACGTGGAGTCAATAGCCGATCCATTTCTGATAGATATGGAAAGAGTCGTTCAAGTTAAAATCCAAGTCCTTCCCTAACATTGGTAAGGAATTTTTTTTTTTTTTTCATTGCATTATATCCATAATCTCTCTTCCCCTGCGTTGATCTGCAGGGTACATCATCTTAGCGTGTAAGTCAATATTGAAAGTTATTTTGACCTCCAGTGCATTTAACTCTATTCATTCTACCCCTTGAAAACATGGCCCGCTTCTATGGCAATAACTAGGAGTTGCCTTTAAAGGACATCAGAGTGATAAGTGAGTCCTAAGAGATATCTATAAAGACCATGCACAAATACAGTGTACCCTGTTATCTTCTTCCCCTAACAAGGCAGACCATTGAACATTATAACGTAAGACAGAAGAACTACATGTTGTTCTGAAGTATGCGTTCGCAAGATACTCGTAGTTGTTCTGAAGCTAAATTTATTCCGAAGCCAATTTCCAGACACGAATACAGCCATCTTCTCCAGAACTGACCACGCTATCATTATCAATAAAAGCCAACCCGTAGACTCCACCTAAATGAGCTCCTTTTATGGTTCTGCGGCTTGATGCTGGCTTTCCAATTTCATAGATGATGACGCACGTATCAAGTGACCCAGTAGCTATGAGGGTGTTATCAGGTGACCAAGCTAGGCAGTTAATACGTGCAGAGTGAAATAACATGTTATTGAGCTTCACCTGCAAGGGATAACTTTGAAAGTCAAATGAAAGCTCAAGGAAAGGACTGATCTCCTTGTCAATCTAGCAATTTCAAAATATCTGTTATTAAGAACTTGGAATGAGAATTTTATTGTACACTTGGTGGAATCTGGCACATCTTAACCAAACCTTTTGCATGGGCTCGCCATACCCACTCTGTATAAGGATAATGTCTCTACTAATACCTAACTTTTTCAGGTAACTTCATCATAACAGTACTCTAAATCTGAAAATTTAACTTTATCATATTTCTTATTTCAAAAAGAAAACGTGGTATGAGAAAATGCAAGCATCCCACTTAAATTGCTTAAAATAGATGTAACTAATGCTTGGGGCTCAAATTACCTCTTTAGAATCACGGTCCCAAACAACAGCTTCACGATTCAAGTCAGCTGAAGCAAACATGGTAACATTTGGAGAATATCTTATCACACTGATAGCACCACGGTGCTTTTCAAGGACTTTCTCTTCTGTAAGTGTATTTCCTGAGACAGAATATACGTGCAACTTGCCATCTTGCCCACCTACAATTGCTTCACTTCCATCAGGTGAAATTGCAGATGCAGTCACAGTGAAGTCTAGGTTATGAGCTGCGACAATTTCTAAACCGTTAAGCAAAAAAATCCCAGATTCAATTGCTACCAAAGAGAGTTTAGGAGAATTAAGGGCAAGGCTCAAGTCCTTTGGCTGATTTCCAACATCAATTTGCTCAGGAGCTCCGAAATCAACCCCATGCAAAGGAACCCTCCATACCTTCATTTCAAAAATTGCACATTAAAGTGCTTTAAAATTAAGGGAAACTATTACCATAACTTGAAACAAGACAAGCTCCGTTTTTCTGATACTTAAAAAGAAGCAACAGGCACATTTACATTGACTGTTGATATGTTACAGGTTTTGAAAGTCCAAATAAAAAAAGCATAAACCCCTTAAATTTTCTCAGTCACCTACTTACCTTGTTGTCAAATCCAGCTGTAATGACTTCTTCTTCACCGGCTGCTAACAATTTAATTAATCCGAATTGTTTACTATCTAATTTCCCACAACAACCAATGCCTGCAATCCATTTTAAGATCACTCCATCATAGCTACATGACAACAGAATCTTTTCAGTTCTGTTGAGTATGGTCAAAACAGCAACGTTCTTCATATGGCCAGATAATGATATCGGACTTTTATCTAAATCTGTTGCCGAATATAAATTAATCATGCCACCAAGGGAGACAGTAAGAAGATGATTATTCTGCCAGAGACAACCAACAAGCATATCCTCCACCCCACCAGATTCTGAACTCGATAAAGTCCTATTTAAACTTCCACTTCCGTCCTCGAGAATATCCCAGATCTTTGCAGATTTATCAGCCGACACGGTAAGCACCTGCAATTGATGCAGACGGGATTGAAACCATCCAAAAACACTAGTGAAGAAAGGATCAAAACATATTCTGCCGTGCAAGAAAAACGAGTAATTTCTTCCTAAAAAATTACAATTCAAACAGATGAATTCATTTGTGATGGCTGTAATTAAGTCAGTATAGTGAATGTGGTGAAGCTCTTCAAAATGCTTAACACACCGGCTTAATTTTTGATCATGCATGTAGGTTATTTTAATGAACTCATTTGTGAATCATATATAAGCTATTATAAGTTTCTATTCTTCTTGCTTCCAATTTATTTTAAGATACATGCAGGTTATTACCTGTTTACTGTCAGGACTCCAGCTTACAGCATATATGCTGCCCTTGTGGCCACCCTCTGCAGACAACTCGCCAAGTTTATCCCCAGTCTTCCCATCATATATGATACCCTTTCTATCTGAGCTCACAGTTATGAATTTGGTCCCATCAGGGGAAAATCTAACACAATTCACAAAATTTGAATGGTCCCTGCAGATCAACATCACCTTCCATTATCAATTCCTAAAATGTTACCACAAGCGTGCGCATTTCTATCAACTTAAACTGACTGGTTTGAATGATTGGGGCCAGGTAAAAGACACACTTAGTCATATATGAGTTTTTTTAGCAAACAGATAAACCTACCTATCATTCAGTGACATTCAGGCTATTCAACTTTAAACCGTATCCTTTACAGCTCAATGATCAATTTAATTTGTCGAACGTTTAGTTTGAACATTGTATTTATATCCACATAAAGCTTATGATAACCAGATGCAAACTCTAGCTACAAGAGCAAGATCATTTGTTCAACATAGTCAAAACAGCACCTCTTCTTGAATCATTCCAAGAGGAAGGTTAAACTGTCTGTGTTGCCAACAGAAATGCAACAACAAGAACTGGGGAGAAACAAAGCGAAAGAAAGATATATCAGACAGAAATTCGGGGCCTTATCAATCCTCCCCACTTACCTCAAGTGAAAACTTAATTGATTGCCAGCTCTTTAGAACCCTTACCGGCTGTTATATGAAGGCTTATTACTTTTACTATAATATCTAACATACCATCTCCTGTTGCTCTGTTGGACATGGATGTGTGTTTCAGAAGAAAATTTTAATCTCACACTGCCCCCGGCAGTCTGTTTTGATTATATTTTATTTTGATTATATTTTAATTTAAATTAATTCCAATGTAATTACCAGATTTTCATATGCAGCCCCCAATTCATTACTAGACGAAATCCAATCATATATAACAATAATAATTACCTGATGGACATGTTGAACTTGAATGGAGGACCATCATAAAAATTAACCAAAAAGTCTTCTCCACATGTGACAATGCGAAAAGGCCTTGTCGGTTTGAATGCACAGCTTAAAACTCGCCGTGAATGACCATCAAAATCCCCCACAGTACTGCCTGAATCCCACCTAAGCACAAAATGAAAGATCCGAAATGGAATAAATAAGGCACCGAGGAGAAAAATGAACGTGTAGTGGCACATGGATTCAATTCTAGAAGGGATGAAGCTTACAATATGTTCAACCAAATTTTTAAACGCAGACCTTGCATAAGTATGAGACCGGACAAGTGAGGGAACTAAATGGACTCCAAATCCATACAACCAAACAAATATATGTCAAATCAAAGTTCGGAATCATGTAGGTTTATAGGAAATAAGGATTCAAAACTTTAAAATGGCAGTCTTTTGGCCATGACCCAAGTTAGAAAATATGCGTAAACTTCGATGGTTGGACACAACATTAACTCCAACCCCTTGGTCATCTCTTCGATGCGGCACTATTTAGAGTGGCCCCATGTATCACAAAACTCGAAACGAGCTGTTGCAGTTCCCATGACTTTTATAATTTATATTGACACTGACCAATGTTGGTGCTACAAATTTTGCACAAAGAATGCGTTGGGGGGGGGGGGGGATGGAAATTTGAGTATTTAATTCATAACAACCTTTTATGAAGAGATGCACTACATTATTAAATACAGACATAAGCATCTTGATAATATGTATCGAGGAAAATAAGATTCTGTTTATATGATATAATATCATATATACATTACACAGGCACACCAAAAAGTATTCTCGGTTATTTCCACCTAGGCAGTCTCATTATGAATTTAATCGTCCTCCTTAGAATTGAAGATGCTATGAAATGAAGCTATCTCTTCCTTCATCTATTCTCTTTGAAGGTAATTCTTGGATTAAACTCAAATGTCAAAATTTACAACTAATAAGTGCAATTATTTCGGCTTGACCCTGGTCCGAGAGCCATTGGCCTTTATCCCTGAGAATCAAGTTACTAAATCAAAAGGCATGGCTTAACAGACTGTAAACGAAGCCTCAATATAACAATGGCATAGCACGAGCAACTAAAATAATGATAATCACTTACATAAAAGCACGAACGAATGACTTCCCTTTGCCATCCCCACAAGCGACGATCCTTAAACAGTCTGCGGACCACTGAAGGTCATCTATCCGACCCGAAAGGACCCGGAACTCATTCTTAAGAACAAAATCGTTATGGGTGCCCCAGATCCGAACGGCGCCGGAGACATCCGCTGAAGCAATCCATTCACCATTGGGAGAGTACCGTGCCACAGTGACAGGGTAGCCGTGCTCGCCATAGACAGAAACCTGAAGCGGGTTATCGAGATTGCGGATCATGACGGATCGCCCAGTGCAGTATAGAACGTTGTTGGATTTCGGGTCGCCGGAAATGAGAATCCCCCGACCGCGTTCGGTGGAAGGCGCACAAGCATAGGTCTCTGAGAGGTTCGCCATTGTTGATGGTATCGGAATCGTGGATCAGGAAGGGCGTGATCATTCATGTTTACTGTTGATTAGGAACTGAGGTGGAGAAAGAGATGATGGGGTCCGATACTTGAGGAAGAAAATTTTGAACAAGTTCGCGGTTTGCGCGGTTTTTCGTTCGGGGCGATCGGCTTTATATAGTAAGGTGTTGTGGTCATTTCGCGTTATTTATCCTCGTTACTAATACTTATAGATTATTGGGAAAATCACAAATAAAAACCGTAGAATTAGAAAAATCACAAATTGAGACTCATAACAATATTAGTATGGGTTTTGATAACAATAGTATGGGTTTTGATAATAATTTTTGTGAATTGATCCCTGTGTGTAATTTTTCTAATTCCACGATCTTTATCTGTGATTTTCCTTAGATTATTTATTCCTCTTCCAATCCTTAATATAAGACCCATTTAACTAATTTGATTATATTAAGGAAGTTAGGTAAGTTAGTTAATTATAAGAAATGTGACACATTTTTAAAATAACATAATTATCTTTCTTAATACCTCCTCTTCTTCTTTTATTTGATTATGGTTGAAAGAGTATCCTTAGGGATAATTTAGAGAAAATTAATAAATATGATAAATGAATCTTATACTTAGGACCAAAACTAACTCAACAATTGGGTCTTATATTAATGACCGGAGGAGTAGTAGTTTTTTTTTTCATTTGTTCCAAAAATTTAACTTTAACCCTACTTTTTTTGTCATGGACTATTCACTTAATATAAGTCGATTGGGCACTACGGATAAAATAATACTCTTCTGATTTTTAATCCTTAATATAAGATCTAATTAACTAATTTGAATAAATTAAGAATTTCAGTTAATTTAGTTAATATGATGTGTTTTTTCTAAAACACTTTAAACATCTTTTTTAATTTTGTCCCCACTCCTATTTTATTATTTTTGAGAGAATATCAATAGGATTAATTTGAAAAAAATTGATAAACATGCGAAATAGATCTTACATATAGAACCAATATCAACTCTTTAATTAGGTCTTACATTAAAAATAAGAGGAATAATATAAAATATAACTATAAATAATGAAGAGGGCCGTTTATTTTTAAGGCTAAGATAAGTACAATATTTTTTTCAATTATTTTTAATCTTATTTTATTTTAATTTGATCCTTAAAAAGTTAAAATACATAAGCAATTCTTTTAATTATATTTTTTTTAATTTGGATGAATAATTGTATACAACTATTTTTCTGAGTTCTATTTTTCAGTTTTAAATATGAACTCTGAAGTATTAATTTACATGTTTTTTCAAAAAATGTAGAGTAAATAACAAGGACATCAACATAGAGACTAAGTAATAAAAAACATGCACACATACTACATATGGCCGCAAAATAAACATGCCTAAGCTATAGCAACGTTAGGCTCATTCGAATCACAATTTGATAATTTCAAGGATATTGATCAGACATGACCAGCAAAAATAAATCTAAAAATGAGACGCAGCCATCATCAAATATATTAAGTAAAATTACAATCAACCCCCAATTTTTTTATAATAATAGTAATATGTTTTGATAGGAAGAAAAGAGCAATGAAATTTGAGAACAGTAGAAATCTGGGTTCTATTATTTTTCAAAAAAAAAAAAAAAGGTTAACTACCATATTCTAGTTAATGTTAAGAGAACGTAACCAATATATGCAGAATGGATTAAGCATTGAATAGGAACAAAATGTGAAAACATGGATTGTTTTATTAAACATCAAGTTGACGAAATATATATGTCCAGATCAACTGGAACCAAAAACATTGTATTCAGGCGATGTTGTACTCACCATAAAGGGGGAAACTTTTGATAGAATTTAACTCCCCGAGGACATCAATTGCACTCATTCTTTCATGAGGTGATTCCAGTGAACATGTGAGTCCGACCTTAAATAAAGAACGCAAGCATTTCTCAACACTGGGATGGATTTGCATCATGTTCTTCGATGAGTCTCTTGAAGTTCCCACTATATGTTCTGATTGTCGTGGAAGAATGCTTGGGCTCACAACTTCTAAAAGCTTGCCTGGAAATACAACTTTCACATATGTTTGAAGATGATGACCATCTTCAAACATATCTTCATTGGGTCTTCTTTTAGTTAACATCTCTAAGACGAGAATCCCGAAGCTATACATGTCACCTTGTATTGATGTCTTGGAACCGATTCCATATTCTGAAATATTGTAAGCATATTAATTCTCTTATAAACGATCATTACAAAAATGGAAACAATGTGTTTGAAAGCATAATAAATTTGGAGGATCTTGTAGTGAAAAAAAATCAAAAGATACCTGGAGGTACATAGCCAATGGTTCCCTTTATACCAATCGTGTTGCTTTGTTCATTAGAAATGACTTCACCAGGTGGGATTAGTCTTGCCAATCCAAAATCACTCAAATGAGCAACCATGTTGATATCAAGAAGGACATTGCTTGGCTTCAAATCACAGTGAATTAGAGGATGCCCATACTCATAGTGAAGATAGTAGACACAATATCAATGAGGATATTTATTATTTGATCAAGAAGCAAAACTCTTGCATCATCTGATTTTTCTGTATTGGAGTGCAACCAATTTTCTAAGCTTCCATTCACCATATACTCATAAACTAGAGCCTTGAATTCATAGCCCTCGTAATCTATGCTAGAGCAAACTGTTATTATTTTACCAAATTTCGATGCTTTGCATTTCTAAGTGCATTACATTCAGCAATAAAACTCTTGTGAGCTCCTTTTATTTGAAGGTCAATAACCTTTATCGCAACAACCTCTTAAGACTCAAGACTTCCCTTATATACCGAGCCAAAACTTCCAGATCCTATCAAGTTTTTGACAGAGAATCCATTTGTAGCATTGTCCAAACTTTGATATGATACTTTGGAAATCATGTCAATTGTTGGTGAACTCAAAGAAGATTTCTTGCTTCTTCTCCTCCAATGATAAATAGCAACAATAGATGCCAGAAGAAGAAAAGCAATCACACAACATATTGATATGATCAACTTGAAGTTTTGATGTTTTCTTTGTCCATTAGATTGATAGGGCATGGTGGCAGCTCCAACTGTGATATGCCTCCACAAAGCTTGTTATTCCCTATAAGCGATGTTGCGCTTGCATTGCTAAAGACACCTTTTCTTGGTATCTCCCCATCAAGCATGTTGAAAGAAATATTTAGGTACTCCAAAGCAATATCTTGCAGGTCTTTTAGAATTGATCCAAACAAGTTATTTTGTGACAAGTCTAGACATCTCAAACCTTTCAATGAAGCCAAAGATAAGGGGATGTCTTCTTGAAAGAAGTTCCCTTGCAAACAGAGATACTCTAAGCTTTGACAATCTCCAATGGTTTGAGGAATATTTCCAGTTAAATGATTATGAGAGACATCCAATTTATCAATCTTTGTTAACTTTCCCACCTCATTAGGAAGATGGCCAATAAATGAGTTACGTGACAAGTTAAGTAAGATTGATAAATATGGAAGACCCATCACGTGGACTATTGCCCCACGAAAATTGTTTTGTGACAGATCAAGATATACTAAGCTTTCACAATTCCTTATACTTGGAGGAACCTGTCCTTCTAACATGTTATTTGACAAATCTAGGTGAAATAACCGAGTGAGGTTACCTATGAAACGAATAATTTTTCCAGACAATTTGTTTGCCGATAAAGATAAGAATTCCATGCTTTGAAGCTTCCCAAGAGTTGTCGGGATGATCTCAGCTAAGTGATTATTGTCCATACTCAGTGATCTCAAGCTAAGGAGATTTCCAAGTGCTTCAGGAATTTGGCCATAGAATTGATTATCTTGAAGATAGATTGATGTGAGGTGGGTGGACCAATTGCACATGCAGTTTGGTAAATGACCTCCGAAATTATTGAAAGTCAAAACTAGTTCGTTCAATTCACTACAATTCATCAAGGATTCAAAGAACTCTAAGTCTTTAGTAGTGGAGTTGCTTCCAAGATTATTGGAAAACAATTCTAGATAAGAAAGTTTATGCAACTTTCCTAGATTTGGAACTGGTCCGGTGAAATGATTTTTTGGTATTGTAATACCTGAAAGCATAGAAGCATTTACTATGGACACTGGGATAGGACCTGTGAATTGATTTCCTCCAAGTCCCAGGACTTGTAGATTAGGAAGGTTCAAGAACATATTGGACGGGAGAGAGCTATTGAAGTGATTTAGTGCAAGGTCCATGACAATGAGAGATGACAAATTGTAAAGAGCAAAAGGAATTGCACCTGAAAGTTTGTTGAAAGATACCGCAAATACTGTCAAAATTTTCAACCAGCCTATTTCTTCAGGTATACTCCCCTCCAAGTTATTATGACTCAAAGAAAGAATCCTGAGAGAAGTAAGATTCCACAACGAAGTTGGGATTTCTCCAGTGAAATTGTTAAGAGGTAGAAACAAACCTTCAAGCTTATGGAGAGAGCCAATCTCCATTGGTATTTTTCCAACGAGATGATTCCCTCCAAAAGCCAAGAGCTTGAGGTTAGAGCAACTTGTGATGTTGATCGGAAATTCTCCCGTCAACGTATTATTTTGGACAAGAAGCTTCTGTAATCTGAACAAACGACCGAAATCTTGTGGAATTTCTCCGTGGAAATTACTGTTGTCAAGAACGATGACTCTTAGGAAGGAGAGATTGGCAATGAAAGGTGATATTGGCCCAGACAATATAATTTATATCCGTTTAAAGCCAACCGAGTAACTCTATCATGTTTGTGACCACAAGAGATTCCATGCCAGTTGCAGAACTGTGTTGAAGCATTCCAAGAGTCCAGGATGTGATATGGATCACTGGATATTGATTCCTTGAATTTGATTAAAGACAAGTGATCCCTTTCGTTGCCCAATGATGATGAAACAGATTTACAAGATTGAAACATCAGAGTAAACGAAGCAAGCAAGTGAAGGGACATGGTTGAGAAAGAGGAGGCTAGCTCGGGAGCTCTTTGTATGGAGAAGCACACTTGTGCTGATCTGTGATTAGTTGGAGGACATAAACAAGTAGAGGTAAGTGGATGGTGTGGATTTGGTGAGCACATGTGGCTTGAGAGACAACCATATATAATGTCTTTGAATTCTGATCTAAGAAATTTAAATAGCAAGGGGAAAAAAAAAACAAAATCTCTGCCTTATCGTATACTTCCTTACAAATAATATGATAATTTTAAAAAATAACTACATTAGACCTAAAAAATAATAACATAAGTAAACAAATTTTGAGCAAAAAATAATATAAGTAATTAGGATTATGCGTATTTTTCTTCAGTAAAAATTATATTGAGAAGGTTATTATGTTTTCATTTTAAATACATTCTTCATCATATGTTATTTCAATGATATGATAAAATTTTAATCATCTTTTTTTTTGTACTTGTGAGAAAATCTTTTAAATTAATTTTAATTTGTTATAGTTGCTGAATTGATGACTCACACGATTTTCATGAATATTAATCATCCTCTAATAACTTCCTTTCCGGAAATCGTTCAATTTTTTTTATTTAAAATTCTGAAAATTTAAAAATACTTAATTTCGAATTATTTTTTTGCTAAATAATTACATGCATGGGAGGAATTATAAAAGTCTTGGTCAAGAACACAAGCTGGAATAGTAGTTATTGCACATGTACAAGTATATAGCACGCAAAACATATGTTCCTCTCGCTGTCTTATGGAAGATTATTCGAATAATCCCAATGGATCTTTTTTATTGAACAAGTGAGTGTAAGAAACATATTGCACGCAATATTGCTATATATGGACAATAATGATCTCCAAGTCATACTACCCTTAAATGAATGGTGATATTTTATATTTTCTTGACCTCATACTGAAGGGATGTGCTTAAAAAGATAATTAAGCTTGGAGAGAGAAATGACTTCTTCAAGCAGACAAACTTGAATAAAATTCTATGCAAATGGACGTGCTACAGTTAACAATTTGACGGGGGTTGTGAGATTGTGAGTTCGACTTTTCTTAGGTATGATGATGTTTGTGTAAGTTTGACCTCTTTGCACATACTTAAATAGATAAGCATGGAACGAAATTAAAAGTCTTCCTTAAGTAGGCAAACCTGAATAAAAATCCATGCGCATAAGCGTACTATAGTTAAAAAATTGCTGGGGCCTTCCAGTCCAATAGCACTAGTCTCTTTTAAGTATTTTTTTAATATAAGGTTGCGAGTTCGATCTCTTTATATATATATATATATATATATATGATATGTGTGTGAGTTCGACCTCACAATAGATACTTAACTGGTTAAGTATGAAAAGAAATGTCTTTCTCAATCAGAATAACTTCAATAAAAATCTATGCACATAGACGTGCCATGGTTAATAAATTGGTAGGACTTTCAAGTCTAATAATACTAAGCATCTCTTTCAAGTATTTTTCAAGTGTCAAGTTGCAAGCTCGGCGTCTCTATAAATATGATGTGTGTGAGAGTTCGACCTCTCAGTAGATGCTTAAATAGTTAAGCATGGAAAGAAATATGTCTTCCTCAAGCAAAATAACTTGAATATAAAAATCTATACCAAGCATCTCTTTCACGTATTGTTAAGTGTGAAGTTACCGGTTCGATCTCTTTGTAGATACTTTAATAGATAAGCATGGAAAAAAAAATATTATCTCACAGTCCTAATTATAAAACCTCATTTATAAACTATAAATAAGGTCTTATAATTAGGATTGGAGGTGGTATCTTCTTAAGCAGAGTAACTTGAGTAAAAATCTAGGGAAAATGACAGATAAAGAAGCTCCAAAATGTGAAATGCCAATTTGGGAAACTAAGGAAATGTAATTACCCATAGGGAAGTCCTTCCCAAATTGGGATTTTAAAATTCAGTGAAATGACAAAAATGCCCTTTGTTTTTTTTTTTTTTAAAAAAAACCCAGCCCCTCACCGGTGGCCGGCGACCGGCGACCACCGCCGGCGACTGGCCTCCGGTGGCCGCCGACCGCCTCCGGCCACCGGCGCCGGCCACCGGTGTGGTGGCTGCCAGTGAAGGATTTTTGTGACAAGATTTTTTTTTTTTGGGAATAGGATAATATTGGTTCAAAGTGGCGGGGGTGGGATTTGATCCCACAACCCCTTGGCCACTTGGACCAACAAAAGGATGGCCATTGGGCCATCAAAGATTTCTTAACCTTATAATGCAAACAAAAATATAAGTTAACTCTTTTACTGTGATTCCAGCTCGTGACAACAATTTATCTGAGGATGACAAGTCTTAATTGAGAAATAACAAGTCTAAATTTGATATTAACAAAGCAACTTTTCCTTATACATAACATAGCAGCATGTGCATTAATTAAAAATGATCATAATTTATTTAAAAATGACACGTCTTTACTATAAAATGACAAGTCTAAAATTGATATTAACAAGGCAACTTTTCCTTATACATAACAAGAAATAGCATCTACGTTAATTAAAAATGACCATAATTTATTTGAAAAAAACACGTCTTTACTGGAAAATGACAAGTCTAAATTTGATATTAACAAAGCAACTTTTCCTTATACATAACAAGAAATTATTGTTGTTATTTTTAAAATGATCATAATTTATTTAAAAATGACACGTCTTTGTTGAAAAATAACAACAATTTATTCGGTATTTCTTGTTATGTATAAGGAAAAGTTGCTTTGTTAATATCAAATTTAGACTTGTTATTTCTCAATTAAGACTTGTCATCCTCAGATAAATTGTTGTCACGAGCTGGAATCACAGTAAAAGAGTTAACTTATATTTTTGTTTGCATTATAAGGTTAAGAAATCTTTGATGGCCCAATGGCCATCCTTTTGTTGGTCCAAGTGGCCAAGGGGTTGTGGGATCAAATCCCACCCCCGCCACTTTGAACCAATATTATCCTATTCCAAAAAAAAAAAAATCTTGTCACAAAAATCCTTCACCGGCAGCCACCACACCGGTGGCCGGAGGCGGTCGGCGGCCGCCGGAGGCCAGTCGCCGGCGGTGGTCGCCGGTCGCCGGCCACCGGTGAGGGGCTGGGTTTTTAAAAAAAAAAAAAAGAACAAAGGGCATTTTTGTCATTTCACTGAATTTCAAAATCCCAATTTGGGAAGGACTTCCCTATGGGTAATTACATTTCCTTAGCTTCCCAAATTGGCATTTCACATTTTGGAGCTTCTTTATCTGTCATTTTCCCAAAAATCTATGCACATAGACGTGCTATAGTTAACAAATTGACGCGGCTTTATAGTCCAATAACACTAAGCATCTTGCAATTGAGAGGATCAATGTCTTGGTCAAGAAGACGAGCTTGAATAGGATTTATTGCGCTTATGCAAATATATATAAGAGGCAGAGGATCGTTCCTCTCATTATCTTATGAAAAATTCAAAGAATCCCAATGGATCGTTTTTATTGAAAAAGTCAGTCTAAGAACCATATTGCACGTAATGTCATTATATATGGACCGCAATGATATACAAGTCACACTACCCTTACATGAATGATAATATTTTATATTTTATATTTTGTGGGTCTCATATTAAAATTATGTACTTAGGTAGATATTCCTTCCGGTCCTAAATATAAGACTCATTTTATAATGTAAATTACACTAGAAATGAGTCTTATATTTAAGACCTGAAGAATAATAAGCATGGAAAGAAATGTCTTCCTCAAGCAGGCAAATAAAAATCTATGCACAAAAATATACTTATTTGATGTGTAAGTTCCGTATGATACGTGAAAGGTGGGGTCTTGTTATCCAGAACGGAATATGAGCTTAGCGAGCATTGCCGCTGAGGAAACTTCAGAGAAGCCAAATATACATTTAATGGGATACACGTGGTGGGGTATTATTAGTCACCATACTTTTTGACAATCTTCCCCACACAAAAATCTACATTTGATGCGAAAGCCAAAGTCTTGTTTGCTTGGAAATCATCTTAAGATAATATTTGTTATATTCTTATTATTACAAATAATTTTTTGTTATAAAATAAAATGGAAAAATACATTTATATGAGAATATAATAGTTAACAGTCTTTTACTCAAATTCTGATTTTTATAATATGGAATGTTAACTTTCAGCCATTCCTTTAACAGTTAAAAAATTCTATAACTTGTTGTTCTAAATTTATATATATATGTATAAGGACTGATTTATTTAAGACAAAATTATAGGAATTGAATAGTTTCAACTTAAAATTCAAAGACTAATTCAATAATTGAAATTTTTTTCTTATTTTAAAATATCATAGGAGTTGTATGAAAAGTAGAAGAGAGGATTTTTTTTTTCTCTATATGAAATTTGAGATATGTTAATATATTCTTGTTACTATGAGTTAATAAAATTATACTTCTTATTTTTGGTTACTGTATTTAAAAATACCCTTATTTTACATTAAATAAAAAAGTTTGAAAAATTTTAGTACTTAAAAATGAATTGATTATAAAGGCCT